ATGATGGTAGTAATGGAATACAGTCATCAGTACGTCCACACACACAGGAAATAGTTTATATTTCGGGTTGGTCTCGCTGTAAACATGATTGCAATCTCCTGACTGTCGGATTTTATTAATTTATTGTGGACGGATATGTCGAGCAATAACAATACCTACTCTCATCTGGGTCTCTGATAAGAGCACCGGTACGTTGAATGTGTTGTACTACAAAATAAAGAATGACCTGCAGTGAAATGAGGATGCTATAACCGATATTAAATTTGAAGTAAACTGTTATCGTAGTGTTTTTACGCATTTGGCGGAATATGTTTTTTTTTCTTCCTGTGCTCATGGTTACTGTATTAAAATAGTGTTCTGCTTGAGATGTTAGATCACACACGCAGTCAAGCTCTGACATGTTTTGGTTATGCGTTGCATTGGATATTCTCTCTCATTAGTAAATTGAAATTTTTTTTGTGAAAATTTATTAAATATCTTAAGATGAATTAGTAAAATTTACATTATTATGGGAAATGTTTTCTATTTATTGTTTTCTGTTTGCAATTATCACATTTATTAACACTTGAACAGATCCAGAGAGCAGCAAGAGTCAGACTTGTTTTAACATCATCAGTTTATGCATAGAATGTACAGAGACCAAATTAGATTTGTAAATAACATATCTTTTTCCAGTTTTTTTTAATTTAAACTGCAATGCAGGTCTACATGTAATGATGTTAATTGAATAGAAACCCTCATCTGTGCTAATTGTGGAACAATATACTTGTATTATTATTTGTTCCAGTATTCCTGCTGTTACAAAACCTCTGGCTATTTTACAAAATTCCACTGATATAATCACCAGCTGTGTCATCCTGGATAATTTAACATTTTTGCTTTAGCAAAACAGCTAATTATTGGAAAGTTGATTTAAAGTACCACAGTCTTCCTTCCACATGAAAGTGGTCCTGTGATGTGATGGATACATTGTTTACACAAAATTTGAATACACACTGGTAATACCTCATAAACAAAATCATTAATGCAAGTAAAATAACCGTTCCATGTTACATAAGATCATTCACACTTTGCCTTAATGAAATTTCATTACTTTGAGGAAAGCTCATTCTTTTAGACATGCAACATAAGCTGTATTCACGAAAGAGATCTTAGCACGTGCCAAGCGTCAGTGCCGACACATGCAAAAATGTGTGTGTGAATAGCCAGTAGAGAGCCATGATCAAACTCTGTAGTGCTAAGATTGATGTATCATAACGCACAAGAACCGATATCACACCCACAATAGTGAACTAACTGGAGTATACATTGATTCCTTTGCTATGGTTGTGAACACAAGCGCAGCTAGCTTTCCAAAAAAACTATGGTCTGATGTTGCATTAAGCACACTTAATGGTATATGAAGGGTAAATGTACCTTCACCCAATGACAAGAATGATTTCATCCTTGCCCCCTTATATGTGAAGTCAAATGAACAATTAGGCTAATGGTTTTTCACTGTATTGTTGTCATAGAGCTGAATTGACAGCATCTAACATTACACCTAATCAAATGACAAATATTGTTTTTTTTTACAACTTCGTGGTCTGTGATTGATAACTGTTAAACACTATAAATTTTGAGAGTCAGTTTTGTGGCAGGCTCAACACAGTGTTAGTGACTTCTGCTAAATTTTGTCTACCCATGTGTCATGAAAGCTCTATCACTATATCAGTGATCATCGGACAGTTTACAATAGATTCACAACTGAATATTTTGTTGCTCAGAACTTGGGGGATCTACAGTTGTTTTTATTATGTTTTGTTCATGTAATACAAATATAGAATTGCTAGTTGCAATGCTATTCTAATATGTCAATCATCTACCAGTATATAATATAATTAAGTTCAGAGCTGAAAGGCCAACCATTTTCATGGCCAAAACTGTATGCCTCAGCATATAGGAATATCAACAAGTAAACTCAGGAGGTATTAGTTCAAACTCTGTGATTATTTATCTTAAATTAGGGTGATTTATTTAATTTATGATTACTTTATGATATTTGGAGAACCCATGGCTAAATGTGGGACATGCATGCATGAATGGCTGAACTTTGTCACTATTGCTCTATTTACATTTTAAACATTTTTCATAGTTAAACTATCGCTTCTGCTACCAATTAACAAGAGATAACCTTTTGTGTGTTTATACGGTTGTGGCTGAAGCTCAGCTCGGTTAGTTTAGAGATGTGATGGAACCAGTCATGAGTGCCTTTGACTTGGATTTCTCATTTGGAAGGTCAGGCCATGTCAGGACTCAGTCAGAGTTCAACCTTGTATGTTTATTAGAGCTAAATTCCATGCATTTACATGGTTGTTTTTGCGGGGTGAAGCCAGTTGAGCTGTCAGCTCCAAACAAATGTCTCTGGGTAAAAGAGAAATTTGATAAAAGCCTGGACCATTATAAAAAACACTGATATCCAGTTTGATTCAATGTCAGCGTGAATCTTGATAAGAATAACAAATAGGATTATGACCAGGAATTCAGCCACATGTCGGCTAGATCCTGAATGCCAGAATACTAATTACAAATCTTTAGTCCTTTTAAATTTGTTTTCCCAATACAGTGACTAAGGTGGTATACATTTTAGCTCCATTGGTATAGAACAATAACATTGCAAATACAGAAAGTGCAAGTTGCAGAATAATATCGTATATATAGGGTATTTCAATTCAGAAATAAAAAAAAAATGTGCAAAAAAAAACTGCAATGGGAAACAATTTAACACAAGATTCAAAACAAATTACGAATGTGATAAAAAAGGATTACATTGAATTCTGGAAAGAATGCTTCAAAAAAACGAAGCTTAGAACATATTTAATGTTTAAAGATACTTGTATTTATCTCTACTTCCCCCTCAAAGAAAGTCACTTTATGTAAATTTAGAACCATTAACCATAACCTGGCTATTGAAACTAATAGACACACTCCACTCCTAAAAACTCTAATTGAAAATAGAACTTGCATAAACTGTCCTCATAATAAAGCTGAATATGAATACATTTCTTTATAGATTGTCATCTCTACAACAATTATCAAGATGGAATGAAGAAAAATATTGAACTCCTTGAAGAAATAGATAATAAACAAAAAACATTTATATTTCTGATGAGCAATAATAACTAAAATATGATTTACTATTACTTGTACATGTATCTTATTATTAACTAACTAAACTTTTTTTTATTACTTTATTGCTGTAGACTGATAGAAAAATTTCCAATGATGCAATAAGGATTATTATCACATTTATAAATACACTGACTATGTGCATGCTAGTGACATTTTCTCTTTCAATTCATGAGTTGAATCAAAGCTTGGTCAATAGTGCTGTGATTTCAATTCAGTGTTTTGAACATACCATATTTGCTCTCACATCTCCAATAAAGGAACATACGTTTTTGTATGAGTTAGTTGACCAATTCTAACTATTAGTTATGCTTCCTCTTTCGAATAGAGCAGCAAATATGGTACATGTACGCCCACATATTTCATATTCTGACATTACCAGTGTTTGCAATAATATATAGCCTTGCTTACATGTGTGTCACATGACCACAGTGTATATTTACAGTTGTATTATTGTTTTATATGAAATATTAATTCTGATCATCTGAGTGGACATTATCTTCTAACAGTAAGCATAATAAAACACATTGCATATAAGTACTGCTTTCATTGCAGAGAATTACAGACTGGCAAACACTTTATTATCAGCTATGACCTTTACCCTGTCATATGACCCCTTGTAAACCTTACATGTAGGTCATACATGTACATGTACTAACCCTTTTAAATAGGTGTTCTATTCAAGAGATTCATAAACCAGTTAGCAAAATTTGGCTAGCAATATCCTGCTTGGCAAAATTTGCTAACCATTTGTGTTAGAGATCTGTTGTCAGATTTTGTTAGCAACTTTGCTAACCAAATATTGCTAACTATTACCTACCGGTATACTCACTTTAAACACATTGATGGAAATGTTGATGCCCACTCCCTTCGTTAAGTAAGGAAGTCCATGACTTCACATATTTTCATGATTGACCAAGATTGTTATTTTTTCTCAACTGATTGGTCACACATGTATGAGCCTCCACCTATTTACAATACTTCTTGTCACATGACCTGCAGCCTAAGCCTGCCTGTACATGTAGTGTGGTACAGATCAAAGGGTACAGCATAACAGCTGATAACAGTATTGTGAAGACACAAATTTTATCTACGAATACATGTTGTGCTTTTAACAATAATACTCCCATGATGCATTGAGCTTGTTTATTTGTGAATCTGGTTTTAAGATTATTTTGAGAAGATGTCACCAAGATAGTGTTACAAACTGCTTTGTCATCAACATGCTTGGATATGCCATGTATAATTGTATTATCACATGTAGTGTCATTTAGCATATGATTCCTAGTTCAACAAATTTGACAGTTATGGTGATAACAAGTGTGGTTATCACTCAATATCTTTTGTTGGTTGTTATGCACAGTGTTTCCAATTGTATTGTCTCTAGTTCATGAATTTTATAGCCTTGTTATATCATTAAATAATATACTGTAAATCACTTAATTTTTATTGTGGAATGTTCGTGATTTTAGAATTTAATGGTGCCATTTGAACATCTTTTAGTGACTCCATGTCTTTCGAACTTAAGTGAAAGTTTCTATGACTCCATGTCTTTAGGACTTCAGTGAAAGGTGCTGTAACTGTGTCATTAGGGCTTCAGTGAAAGTTGCTGTAACTCTGTGTCATCAGGACTTCAGTGAAAGTTTCTATGACTCCATGTCTTTAGGACTTCAGTGAAAGGTGCTGTAACTCTGTGTCATTAGGACTTCAGTGAAAGGTGCTGTAACTCTGTGTCATTAGGGCTTCAGTGAAAGTTGCTGTGACTCTGTGTCTTTAGGACTTCAGTGAAAGTTGCTGTGACTGTGTCTTTAGGACTTCAGTGAAAGTTGCTGTGACTCTGTGTCTTTAGGACTTCAGTGAAAGTTGCTGTGACTGTGTCTTTAGGACTTCAGTGAAAGTTGCTGTGACTGTGTCTTTAGGACTTCAGTGAAAGTTGCTGTGACTGTGTCTTTAGGACTTCAGTGAAAGTTGCTGTGACTGTGTCTTTAGGACTTCAGTGAAAGTTGCTGTAACTCTGTGACTTCAGGATTTCAGTGAAAGTTGCTGTGACTCTGTGTCTTCAGGACTTCAGTGAAAGTTGCTGTGACTCTGTGTCTTCAGGACTTCAGTGAAAGTTGCTGTGACTCTGTCATTAGGACTTCAGTGAAAGTTGCTGTGACTCTGTGTCTTTAGGACTTCAGTGAAAGTTGCTGTGACTGTGTCTTTAGGACTTCAGTGAAAGTTGCTGTGACTGTGTCTTCAGGATTTCAGTGAAAGTTGCTGTGACTCTGTGTCTTTAGGACTTCAGTGAAAGTTGCTGTGACTGTGTCTTTAGGACTTCAGTGAAAGTTGCTGTGACTGTGTCTTCAGGACTTTAGTGAAAGTTGCTGTAACTGTGTCTTCAGGACTCAAGTGAATGTTGCTGTGACTCTGTGTCTTTAGGACTTCAGTGAAAGTTGCTGTGACTTCCGGGCTTCAGTGAAAGTTGCTGTGACTCTGTGTCTTTAGGACTTCAGTGAAAGTTGCTGTGACTGTGTCTTTAGGGCTTCAGTGAAAGTTGCTGTGACTGTGTCTTTAGGGCTTCAGTGAAAGTTGCTGTGACTTCCGGACTTCAGTGAAAGTTGCTGTGACTCTGTGTCTTCAGGACTTTAGTGAAAGTTGCTGTAACTGTGTCTTCAGGACTCAAGTGAAAGTTGCTGTGACTCTGTGTCTTTAGGACTTCAGTGAAAATTGCTGTGACTATTGTGTCATCAGGACTTCAGTGAAAGTTGTTGTGACTCTGTGTCATCAGGACTTCAGTGAAAGTTGCTGTGACTGTGTCTTTAGGACTTCAGTGAAAGTTGCTGTGACTCTGTGTCTTCGGGACTTCAGTGAAAGTTGCTGTGACTCTGTGTCATTAGGGCTTCAGTGAAAATTGCTGTGACTATTGTGTCATCAGGACTTCAGTAAAAGTTGCCATGACTCTGTGTCATCAGGACTTCAGTGAAAGTTGCTGTGACTCTGTGTCTTTAGGACTTCAGTAAAAGTTGCTGGGACTGTGTCTTCAGGACTTTAGTGAAAGTTGCTGTAACTGTGTCTTCAGGACTCAAGTGAAAGTTGCTGTGACTCTGTGTCTTCGGGACTTCAGTGAAAGTTGCTGTGACTCTGTGTCTTTAGGACTTCAGTGAAAGTTGCTGTGACTTCCGGACTTCAGTGAAAGTTGCTGTGACTCTGTGTCTTTAGGACTCAAGTGAAAGTTGCTGTGACTCTGTGTCTTCAGGACTTTAGTGAAAGTTGCTGTGACTCTGTGTCTTTAGGACTTCAGTGAAAGTTGCTGTAACTCTGTGTCATCAGGACTTCAGTGAAAGTTACTGTAACTTTGTGTCTTTAGGTCTTCAATGAAAGCTGCTATGACTCTGTCTTTAGGACTTCAGTGAAAGTTGCTGTAACTTTGTGTCATCAGGACTTCAGTGAAAGTTGCTGTGACTGTGTCTTTAGGACTTCAGTGAAAGTTGCTGTGACTCTGTGTCTTCAGGACTTCAGTGAAAGTTGCTGTGACTCTGTGTCATCAGGACTTCAGTGAAAGTTGCTGTGACTGTGTCTTTAGGACTTCAGTGAAAGTTGCTGTGACTGTGTCATCAGGGCTTCAGTGAAAGTTGCTGTGACTCTTGTGTCATTAGGGCTTCAGTGAAAGTTGCTGTGACTCTGTGTCTTCAGGATTTCAGTGAAAGTTGCTGTGACTCTGTGTCATTAGGACTTCAGTGAAAATTGCTGTGACTATTGTGTCATTAGGACTTCAGTGAAAGTTGCTGTGACTCTGTGTCTTTAGGACTTCAGTGAAAGTTGCTGTGACTCTGTGTCTTCAGGACTTCAGTGAAAGTTGCTGTGACTCTGTGTCATCAGGACTTCAGTGAAAGTTGCTGTGACTCTGTGTCTTCAGGACTTCAGTGAAAGTTGCTGTGACTCTGTGTCTTCAGGACTTCAGTGAAAGTTGCTGTGACTCTGTGTCTTTAGGACTTCAGTGAAAGTTGCTGTGACTCTGTGTCTTTAGGACTTCAGTGAAAGTTGCTGTGACTGTGTCATTAGGACTTCAGTGAAAGTTGCTGTGACTCTGTGTCTTTAGGACTTCAGTGAAAGTTGCTGTGACTCTGTGTCTTCAGGACTTCAGTGAAAGTTGCTGTGACTCTG